AGTCAAAATGGAAAAACAAAAACAAAAACAAAACTTGCAACAGTAGGACCCAGAAACCCCAAGGAGCCAAGGCAACCATCACTGACAAGGCAAGTTGATGCCTAACAGCCAGATAACCTAACAAAAAGCATCGACTCACAGGCAACATGGACCAACCAGAGAAGAGAGGAAAATAAGGAGAGACGAGCCATCCAATGCGACATGGCTGCTGCCAGTAGACTGCTCTCTCATGCCAGCCCTACATGGGTTTCCACTGACTCCTCTCCCAGACTAGGCTTGAACCTCACCATCTCTTGCATCTTTATTTTCTTCTTCCCCTGCCTTTCCCAGTTCCTCTCCTTCAACTGACTCACTTCTGCCTCATCAGAAAGGTCAGGTATTCTCTTCTAGCGAATGTCCTCTGGCTGGGCTAGACACTGCTTATCTCTGTCCCTATAAACTAGAGACCTGTGAATGCATTTCTAGTTTCCCTGCTGGGCCATTCTTACCTACAGTATACCACTGGAAAGTCTAGACTCTCTTGTATACCTCACCTAGTGTGTCTTATCATCAGCCCAAAACTTTGAGCATGTATCACACAAGCCAACACCAACTCAGTATATGACATGCAAACATGTGTGCATGTGTGATTCAGGACTACTGGAGCTCCAAGACCAGAAATCAGATCCCAGAAAGTAGATATCATGAATTTACAAACAAGGCCTTGGGCTCAAAGCAGAAAAGCCTTGAGGCATTAGCCAGTCAGCTTTTTGTTACTATGACAAAATACCTGATGTAGGCTACTTATGAAGAAAGAAACTTCCCTTAAGCTCAGTGTTCTAGAGCTTCAAAGTCAAAGATCAACTGACACCAATGGTAAGAGAGGCAGACAGCAGCATGTGGTGGTAGGAGCTTATACAGAAGTCACACCTCAGGACTGGCAAGAAAGTACAGGGTAGCCCAGGCTTACTCTTTTTGTAACCATCTTCTAAGAACTACCAAGGAGTCTCATGAGAAATAACCTCATGCCTCCACTGACATAAGAACTGAGCTCTCACTAGGTCCCTCCTCCTGCAGGGTGCCCACTTTCAACAGTGCCAAGACTTCAGCCATCTCCTAAAGATCTCTAACCATCTCCTGAAGGTTCTACCCTTCCAAGTCTCAAGTCTCTAACCACAATGGGCTAGAGGGACAGAAGCCGTATTCATACCACAGCAGAAATCTGTCCTGGTCTCTGGGGAAACATCTCAAGTGCCTGTCAGTGGCTGAGCACCAACAACAGACAGCTTGTCACTACATCAGCACTATCACTATGTGACAAGTGGCATCTCTGTAACTTCCAACCAGGGACTTGCTGACTATCTCAAAAGAAGCTCTCTACTGTGCAGATATTTCCAATTCCTACAGGGGTAACATCTGGATCACACTATTTAGACCGCCTATCAATTCACAATGGCTTTCATTGTAAGCAGTTTCTACAAAGTTACCATTTCTCATTCTGTAGCTATTGATGAAGCATCTCATCTCAGTGTGTGGCATGAGAAAATGACCTTGTTGCTTTAAAAATGTTACTGTTATGCTAGATATAAAATGTTTCTTTGTTCAACTGAAGGAAACCACTTACCAGCAAGCAGAGAGTGGGCTACTGTTACAGATCTCTGGAGGCAGAGGCAAGTGGATCTCTGAGAGTTCGAGGCCAGCCTGGTCTCCATAGCGAATCCAGTCCAGCTAGGGCTATAGGGAGACTCTGTCTCAAAAAGACCAAAACCAAAAAAGGAAGCAGAGCTGGGCATCTGATTCTCCCCCTATTGAGATGGCTCAGTGGGTAAAGGCTCTTGCCTACAAGCCTGATGACCTAAATCCAATCCTCTGGTCCCACATGGTGGAAGGAGAGAAGCAATCTGGCATACATGTTCTCTGACCTCCACATGTGCCATGGCATACATGCACACACACACAATAAATACATGTAATAAAAAAAATTTTAGGGGCTGAAGAGGTCGTTCTGTGGTTAAGAGCACCAGCGACTCTTACAGAGGCCCCGGGTTCAGTTCCCAGCACCCACATGGTAGCTAACCATCTGTAACTCCAGTTCCAGGGGATCTGACACCCTATTTGGCCTCTGTGGGCATTGCAATGATATGGGTACATTAACATTCATTCAGGCAAAACACTCAAATACATAAAAAATAAGTAACTAAAAAATGTTTAGATGTAAGAGCTAACCACAGGTGTGGGATTTTGCCTTGTGCTAAATCTATGCATAAGTATGAAACCCAAGGCTAGTGATGGAGGCAACTGGTACCAAGATCACTGGCTTTCACTGGGTACTTACATTGTGCCAGATTCCTTTGATTCCTGTTAATACTGGGAGATTTCTCACGTATCTCAGGCTGGTTTTACATTCACTACATAGCCAAAGATAACCTTAAACTTCTGATCCTCCTGCCTCCACCTGCAGAGTGCTGGGACTGCAGGCTTGTACCACCATGCCCAGTTTACTAGGTACTAGGGATTGAACCCAAGGCTTCATGTACATTAGGCAGATACTCTATCAACTGAGCTACAACCCCAACTCTCTTCCCAATATTTTTAACTAGTACACAGGGTGGGCACTATTACCATTACTGCTAGCCTTACTTTATAGGCAAGGAAACAGGTTTGGAGAAACCAAAAAAGTCAGCATCTATGCAAGGGGCAGAGCTATGACTAGAACCCTGGTTGCTGGGTGCCAGTTCCTGACCATCTCTCTATGCAACTGTGCTCCCCAAAACACAGATGAAAAGCAGCACATGTTGGAAATGGGAGGAATGCAGCGACTTTTCACATCCCAAACAAAGCAGATGGAGCAGGGAAAGCTGATAGGATAATGCTGTCAGTCATCCTGTGCTCTCTCCCTCCATCCCTGTAAAAGCCTTGTTAACAATGCCAGAAAATAAGGTTATAGGGCAGATTGCAAGTGTCTAACAAATTCAGTGAGGGAGGCAGATCAGAGCCACAACCTTGGGTCCAGCTCCATGCCAAACACGAGTCTCAGTACCTTGTTGTCATGAGGACAGTGAGGTATGACAGAATGTGTCTGGCACTTGTGCTTAGCAGAAAACAGGTATTACAATACTGTTTTCTTCCTTATTCTCAGTTCCCATTTGGAAACAAGGAGACAGCTCCTAGCTACACAGTGTAGATCCTGCCTAGTCCCCCTCCCCCACAGAAAAATACTATGGGAGACACCTCTGTGTTACCGGAGAGCGAGCATTTCATCTGCCCTCTATCGGCAGTGCTTGAAACAGGCTAGAAACAGCAAGTTTTCTGCTTTCAGTGTGACAGCAACAATAGCAGCAGGTACTATTTAAGTACTCTAAGGCAGTGCAGAGACCATTTAAATAAGCACTGCAGATTACAAAGTGAGAATTGACATATGCAAGGACTCCAACCAACTTCAGAGCAAACCTCACTCTGAAGACTTTCTCCATCCCTGCCCCCACAGAACACCAACTGTAGCCTCAAAAAGGAAGAGTGGAGACTTTTTTCACGAGATACACTTTTAGAGTATTTGAATACTATAAAAGAGCCAAGGAAGATGTTGCATGCCTGTAACCCCCACATCTGGGAGGGTGGAGACAGCTACATAGCGAGATCAAGGACAGCCAGATCTACACACAACCCTACACCAAAAAACAAAACAACAACAAAAAAACCCTGCAAAATAAATGATAAAATGGAAGTAGTCATTTTTTTTAATCCTCCATCAGTAATCTTTGATGAAATTCAGCTTAAAGTCAGACTTTTTAAAAACAGACATTCTGAATAAGTTAGGACATCTAGATTTTCAAAGGGGTGGAAGGAAGCTGACTTAAACATAAAATGGCTTTACAGCCAGGTGTGTGGTAGTGCAAGACTGCAATCCCAGCACTGAGGAGGCTGAGGCAAGAGTTTCAAGAGTTCAAAGCTAGCCTGGGCTACACAGCCGAGACCACGTCTCAGAAACAAAACAGCAAAATAAACCAGTTTTGTGTTCAGAGCGCAGCAGCTTGGCTGGGTGGAAACTACCATTCTTTGAGGTCTAAACATTTCGAGTCTCATTCGCTTACACACTCGGACTGCATCGTAGTTCGCTCATTTCAACCAAACTACGGGGTTCCGGAAAGTATGAAACATACGCCCCCTAAAACGTTCAAAAAAGCTGCTAGGCAACATCCTTACAGCTTGTCCACGTTCAAAGGGCAAATCACAAACTTGCGTTTCAAAGCAGAACACCAAGGCTTTGGTCCCCAATGAAATGAAGGTTCCGCCCACAGCCACAAGAAAGCTACCAGGCTTCGGTTTTACGTTTTTTTAAACGCCAAACAAAAATTAACGGAACACGCGCGTTTTCCTTCCACTCTTCCATAATTTTAAAACTCCCTCCATTTTCTTCTTCCTTTACGCTAGAGAAATATTTAGTAAAACCTCTCTCTTGATAGACCAGAAACTCATTTCCAGGACTGTGTTTAGTTAGAAGGCGGAGAGATGAACGAGCAGAGTTTGGGTTGAAATGTTTAAATTCCTGCACGCAGTGACAATTACGAATATCTGTCTTGAAACAACAAAAGCTCCAGGAAGGCCGTGGATGCGAAGGAGCAAGGGTCACAAAGGCTGCGGGAGCAGCACGGGAGTCAGAGTCCCAACCCAGCCGGTGCCGGGCTCGCGGCTACCTCCAGTGCATCCGGCTCCAAAGCCAACCGGCGAGGGGGACAGGGCGACCGCTGCGAGCGCCGCAGAGAAGCCCCGGGCACAGCAGAGAGCGCGCAAAGTGAGCGGGGACTGGGGGACCCGCGGAGGGAAGGGGCAGGGGGGAGGGGGTTCGGGAGGACCAGGCCCAGACTCGGGGCACCGGCTGCAGATCCGGCTCCAGTAGGCGACCCGGGAAGTCGGGCTCAGGGACAGAGGGGAGGAGGAGGGGGGCTGCTGGGGATCCCGCAGGTCGGTGCGCGCAGCCGGGGCAGGGGATCAGGGCTGGGGATCCGGAGAGCGGTTGTCACCTGTATTGTTTGAAAAGCTGATCCGACTCCCTGAAGCCGTTGTTGAGCAGCATGTTGATGCCAGCCAGGGCCAGCTCCGCGTCCTGCAGGGGTGCAGCCTCCGCGTCCGGGTCGCCGTCGTCCCGCCGCCGCGGCCGCTGCTGCTCGGAGCCCGCCATGCACGCGCGAGGCCCCGCGCTGGGCCGAGCCGAGGTC